CCACACACACACAGAGTCCGATAGACTCACCACACACACAGAGACCCACAGACTCACCACACACAGAGAGACCCATTGACTCACCACACACACAGAGACCCATAGACTCACCACACACACAGAGACCCACAGACTCACCACACACAGAGACCCATAGACTCACTACACACACAGAGACCCATTGACTCACCACACACACAGAGACCCATAGACTCACCACACACACAGAGACCCACAGACTCACCACACACAGAGACCCACAGACTCACCGCACACAGAGACCCATAGACTCACCGCACCCACACACACAGAGACCCACAGACTCACCACACACAGAGACCCATAGACTCACCACACACAGAGACCCATAGACTTACCGCACACACAGAGACTCATAGATTCACCACACACACACAGAGACCCATAGACTCATCACACAGAGACCCATAGACTCACCACACAGAGATGCATAGACTCACCACACAGAGACCCATAGACTCACCGCACACACAGAGACCCATAGACTCAAGGCACACACACACACAGAGACCCATAGATTCACCACACAGAGACCCATAGACTCACCACACACACAGAGACCCATAGACTCACCACACACAGAGACCCATAGACTCACCGCACGCACAGAGACCCATAGACTCACCACACGCACAGAGATCCATAGACTCACCACACAGAGACCCACAGACTCACCACACAGAGACCCGTACACTCACCACACAGAGACCCATAGACTCACCACACACACAGAGACCCACAGACTCACCACACACAGAGACCCATAGACTCACCACACACACAGAGACCCATAGACTCACCACACACAGAGACCCATAGACTCACCACACACACAGATACCCATAGACTCACCACACAGAGACGCATAGACTCACCACACACAGAGACCCATAGACTCACCACACACACAGAGACCCATAGACTCACCACACACAGAGACCCATAGACTCACTACACACACAGAGACCCATAGACTCACCACACAGAGACCCATAGACTCACCGCACACACAGAGATCCATAGACTCACCGCACAGAGACTCGTACACTCACCACACAGATACCCATAGACTCACCACACACACAGAGACCCAAAGACTCACCGCACACACACAGAGACCCATAAACTCACCGCACACACAGAGACCCATAGACTCACCGCACACAGAGACCCACAGACTCACCACACAGAGACCCGTACACTCACCACACAGAGACCCATAGACTCACCACACACAAAGACCCATAGACTCACCGCACACACAGAGACCCACAGACTCACCGCACACAGAGAGACCCACAGACTCACCACACACAGAGACCCATAGACTCACCGCACACACACACACAGACCCATAGACTCACCGCACACACACTCACCACACAGAGACCCATAGACTCACCACACACACAGAGACCCAAAGACTCACCGCACACACACACACATAGAGACCCATAGACTCACCGCACACACACAGAGACCCATAGACTCACCGCACAGAGACCCACAGACTCACCACACAGAGACCCACAGACTCACCACACAGAGACCCATAGACTCACCACACAGAGACCCATAGACTCACCGCACACACACACACACACAGAGACCCATAGACTCACCACACACACACTCACCACACAGAGACCCATAGACTCACCACACACACACACACAGAGACCCACAGACTCACCACACACAGAGACCCACAGACTCACATCGACCGATCTGCA